CCGTTTCCATAATATTTTCCTGCCCCTCCCCCACCCCCTCCTCCGTCTTTCCGATGCCACAGACCGTGGAGCCAACCGCAGAACCCCTCAACCGCCTTCGCCGCCGCCGACCGATCGCCCGCTACATACCCTCCCTCCACCCTTTCCCGACTCAAATCTTGAGGTACTCACCCAAGGCGCCGAAGCCCTCGTCTACAAGACCGTCTTCCTCTCACCCCAAACGCCCTGCGTCGTCAAATATCGGCCGCCCAAACCATATAGACACCCCATCCTCGACAAGCGGCTGACGAAAGCGCGGCTCCTTGCCGAAGCCAGGGTGCTAGTACGATGCAATAGGGATGGCGTAAAAGTGCCGGGAGTGCTGAGTGCCGACTGGGAGGCGGGCTGGTTGGTGCTGGAGTGGATCGAGGGTCGGACGGTCAGGAAAGTACTGGATGGATGGGCAGAAGAGGTCGCAAGGTTAGAGAAGGAGGGCCAGAATGTGAATAAGAAACAGGACGAGGGCATGTTGGATCTCATGCGGAGGGTGGGGAGAGCGGTGGGAAAGCTGCATGAGATCGGCGTGTGTCATGGGGATCTGACAACGAGTAATTTAATGTTGACAACCCCCGAAAAGAAGACATCATCTGGAGCGGTCACACAAGGACAGCAGCAGACGCAGAGGTCTAGAGGGCGGCTGACAACTTCAGAGATGCGAATGATTGCAGAAGATGGTGGATACCCTGAATTACCATCGCTATCCCAACCGAACACACCAACTCAATCACAGACACACTCAGAGTCTCTTGAAGGCGAGATTACGCTCATAGATTTTGGTCTCGCGTCACATTCCACGCAGAATCTACAAGACGAGGACCGCGCTGTCGACTTGTACGTGTTGGAGAGAGCCTTTGCAGCCACGCATCCTGCAGCTGAGCCGCTGTTCAAAGAGGTGCTCAAAGCGTACGGGGAAAGCTTCAAAGGAGGAAAAGCAGTATTGAAGAGGCTAGAAGATGTCAGACTAAGAGGAAGGAAGAGAAGTATGCTGGGCTAAGCATGACATAAGGGTACGTGGTCAAAGTTGAGTTGGCGCTGTAGCCATTCTCCAAAGAGTGCCACACAGCACTCCACGCAGCTTGCCACAGACGAAAGTCGTTAATGCAATCAATTCAGAGAGAACAGCCTGGAAACTGTGACGTCATTACCAACATAATTTTTCGAATTCTCACTGTCACTCTAACACCTCTCTATCAATTCGTTCAACTTCCCTTCACTCGTGTCCGTATTAATATTGTTCTCTTCTACCAGACTCACTTTTTGCGACATTCTTTGCCCGATCTACTTCACCACCTTTCAAGAGACCATACTTTAGTCGCAGACTCATCCGCTAGCATTGTCCAATCATGTTCCACTCGAGCCAATAACAATACTAAGCATTCCCCGAAATGCGCGAAGGTACCCAACAGCTGGCGAGGCTTAAGTGGCACCTACGTGTAGCTAAAACAATATGAAGCACGGCAACAATACTAAGCAGATGGGTCGGTATATATCTTTCTTCTCGCCGCAACATCTTCTACCATACTCACAACGCAAACTACGATTTCTTTAGCACCGAAATAAGTCATCGAAACGTCTACTTCTTTGACCTTTTCAGTCGATATACTTTTCCTTAAGAGCGTTTCCAAATTCCATAAAGCCTTTTCTGAACACGAATATCGGCTTCAGCAGGACAACATGTCGACAACGCTCCTCCTTACGTTCATCTACATTCTCGCCTACCTCTCCCTATTCGCTGTCTTCAGTCTTTTGGTTGATAGAATCTGCAATATGACAATGATCAGTACCCTCTTCAGGGTGCTGCGCAAGTTCACCTACAAGGCTCGCTACTTGTTCGCCGATCATATTGACATCGACGCCAAGGCTAGCAACTCATTCGTGGACAGCAGCAACGCCACGACCAAGGTCAGCAACCTACTCGCCAACACTATCAACCTCGGGGTCAAAGGTTCACTCAGCAAATTCAGCACGTCGCCAACCGTCAATGTTCGACGTGTAGACATGGGCATGTGCGATCAACGCATCGCAAGCAAGAGGCCCGCGGTGCATGGCAGGCCGGCCATTGTGCAGGCGCCCACTGGAGGGTACAATTGTGCAGTCATGTGAAGAACGCGAAGATGAGGTGTGTTCTCCCATTAGCTGGCTCATGTTTACTTTGTGACTAATTGTTGCAGGATAGCAAAGACCCCCACGACGCACCTCTTAGTCTGCGTTGAGCTGGCATATCATGGACGCGTCAGCGGGCCTGATGCTTGGAGGACGTTCCTCCAAATACTGGTCATTTCTTGTTTACCTGCTATCTGTTTATCGAGAGATCTGAACACAACGGTCAGACGATGCGGAGCGAAAATCACTGGTTATTTCTGGCGTTCACGGTCCTTTTAAGTCACTGCAAGCTATACTGAAAACAGTCTTTGCTAACAAAGGCTGGTATCGGTGTTCCCATCGGCATATTCTAGTATTTTGAGATAGTGCATAGAGCTTTACTTTTCTCTTTCTTTACTCTGTTCAAGCTGCGTGGTGTCGTCTGTGACCCGGCATATATCTGCCGACCTTCTTTCCGGAGACTCGGATGCAGGTCTTTCTTCTCCTCATATCTATATGATTCAAGCACCTTCTCAAGGGTCGGCGAAGACGTGGTCCCAGTAGTTTGCAATCATGTCAAGGTTTGGGCTCTTCGGTCTACTCTCTCCGTGCCTCGATCCGCCCATCTACGCTGAACATCGGCAAAGCCGTAACTAGGCATCACTATAGCAGACGCAATATGCACACAGATCATGCCACCTCGCGTCTGGCATTCATCCCCAAGGGCATACTACTGCATGCGGTAGGCAGTCAGCTCCCAAGACAGAAATCCCAAGCACAATCTCCCAATCCGAAATACCCATACTCTGCTCTCCGCGCTCGAATCTGACACCGCACCCCCATATTTTCATTTGCTGGGAACGGATAAGGTCACCCAACGACCGAAAGTGCAAAAGTGTTGTACGGGAGGAGTCGGGCAGCGTTGCGCCGGGCGGCGAACCTCGGCGTCGTGCCGGTACGTCATGCGGGGTTCACGATGCTGGTGTGCCGACCAGATGTCAGCCCATAGGGGTAATTTTTTCGATTGGAATGCGGGTGCGATGTGATGTCGGCGGCGTGGTGCCGCGGTGACTCGGGCGGTTTGCCGAGCGTGGGAGCGGTGCGTTTTGTTGGTATAAGGTACGGGAGGTGCCTCATGTTGAGGACGGGCGCATCGAGATTTTTTTCTCCAGAAAGAACGATTTGTTGCTTTCCCTTCTTTTTCTGTCGAAGTTTACGGTATTGGGCTTTTGTTTTGTCTGGATAGAGTTGGAACTTGAAGAGCGTCAAGCTGCTGGTTTGTGGATATTGCAAGAGCGGGATTCAAGATGGCGCAAAGTAATGGCGTGAAGCCAGTGACGGTGGTGCAGAAGCTGAGAGCGATGCTGGCGGACCCAGATAAATTCGTCGTGTGTCCTGGTGTGTACGATGGGTACACGGCGCGCATCGCATTAGCAGAAGGAGCAGAGTGCTTGTACATGGTATGCTCCTGCTCTTCCATCTCCCTTTCCCTCTTCAACGACCAAGCCCCTCTCAATACACAAGACATTAGTCATGCTGATGAAATTCAGACTGGAGCAGGAACCACCATGTCCCGCCTGGGCATGCCTGACATGGGCATTGCAAGTCTTCCGGACATGCTTTCCAACGCTTCTATGCTTGCCTCCATCTCCCCCACCACTCCTCTCATTGCAGACGCAGATACAGGATACGGATCCGCCCTAATGGTCGCCCGCACCGTGACATCCTACATCCGTGCTGGTGTGGCGGGCCTGCACCTTGAGGATCAAGTTGTTACCAAGCGATGTGGACACCTCAAGGGAAAGCAACTCGTCGACGTGGACGAATTCGTGAGTCGGATCCGCGCAGCAGCCATGGCTAGGGAAAAGAGTGGTGGTGACATTGTGCTTATTGCGAGAACGGATGCGCTGGCGGGCGAGGGGTACGACGAGGCCCTGAAGAGATTGAAGGCTGCGATTGAGATCGGTGCAGACGCAGCGTTCCTTGAGGGCGTGACGACGCGCGGGGAAGCGGAGAGGCTTACGCGCGATCTGGCGCCTACTCCGTGCCTCTTTAACAGTGTGCCTGGTGGCGTGTCGCCTGACTTCTCGGTCAAGGAGGCCAGGGATAGTGGATACAAGATTGGGATTTACCCGCTGTTGGCGCTCGAGGTGGTGTATCCAGCTGTGAGAAAGGCGTGCAGACAGCTTTTTGACGATGGAGAGGTATCGAGTGTAGAAAAGGATGGAAAGAGATGGGGTCCGAGGGAATTGTTTGGGGTGTGTGGGTTGGATGAGTTGATGGAGTTTGATCGGAAAGCTGGGGGGACGGGGTATGTTGATGGAGCATAGAGGGCGTTGAAATGCACATTTTTGAAGGCATTAGCGAGCATAGTCCGGAGTTGGGAAACGGTGCATATTGATGGACGCATTGCAGCAGATATGATACCTTCAATTTTTTGATTCATAGGGTTGATATGAACAGACTTGCATAAACGACCACTGCAGTCTGACAAGTAAAATATAATCTAGTATGTGTTAGTCAAAATTAGCATCATAGCATGGGGGTGGGCTGAAAGCGTTCTATCATGATGCGCACGACATACTGTTTTTCTCACAGTGACCGCGATTGTACCAACAGTGTTTAGGTCTATGAGATCAGTTAATTCTCTTCATCAAATTTCCGTGCTAGCGAATGATTTTTAGCTCTGAAGACGCTATCTCCACCCCTGCCCGTGACTCATGCTTAGGCACCACCTCTCGTTTGTTCCCCCACATTGCGAAAATTTTGCAGACCAAAGCTATCACTCTCTCTGTTACTTTGGCGTTGTTAACCTATCTCTAACGATATGTATTTTGCAGTTCAATCTCATTTCAACAATTACTAAGCAATTGGAACAATCTTCCTTGGTCTAGTGGTCATGATTTCCGCTTGTCAAACGTCCTACGACGTTAACAAGCGCGGGAGACCGGGGTACGTTAACTTCCATTCTGAACATAGACACCATTCCTAACTTGTGAAAAGGTTCGATTCCCCGAGGGAGAGTAAATACTTTTTTGGCATTTGTTCGACTCGTCACTGCGAAGAGTCGGTTTTTTTGTTTTGCTTAATTCACGCTAGAGCGTTTAAGGTCTTCGCTTTTTCCAGTTTGAACAAATGTTCATTGAGGTCATGGGATTGGAAGGCGCGTGCCCGAGCGCTACTGGGCCGTGCACCTGCTAAAAGTTCCCTGGTCGCTGCCTCCGGCGGTAGGTTCCTTCTATATCTACTCCCCCCGAGGGAAAGACTTCATTTTAGTCCTATATGTTGCTCTTTGCCTTTCAAATGTCGATGTTGCGCTGCGTTTTGGATAGTGGAGCAGTGTGTGTGGTGTAGGCGACACTTCGGCAGCGACAATCTTTTTTGGTCTTAGCAATCTGTAGATTTTCATAAATGATAATAAACGACGACTAATATTTGGACTGATCAGCAGGTAAAGGGGGAAAAAGTATCTGAGATGAGTGGGCTGAGAATCTCGTGATAGACAAACAGGAAGATTGGAATCTGCATAGATCATCAGAAAGCGATTGATATTCAGGGTCATAAACGTTGATCTTCACTAGAGCAGCCTATGATCAGTGAATCGGCCACTTCGCAAATGAAAGAAAAGGGGTGAAAAGTATTATGCTGTGCTGAACGAAGACATGAATAATCGTACGCTGTGAACGCATACTCCCTAACTTCCCGTGCGCAGTTTTAACGATTGCTGCATCGGTTGCTCACTCGCCACAGGTGTCGCCATCTTCCTCATTACAAGAACCTAATAAATGATCTGTTGCGCAGAACATTGCATGCATCCAAGAAACGCCAAGTCCTTTGCCGCATCCTTTTTTTCGTGCGTATCACGATCAGGCCAACAAGGCCACTACAATGTCGCGTGTTACATGTGCTATACTCTGATCATGAGCCGTGTAGTTGGTTTTAAGGATTATTAGCATGTTTCATACGATGTTGTCAAAGTGTTCACTTTCGGTTCCTTCGACGGCTGACCCGTACCAGAGGAATCAGATGCCTCCAAGGATGATACTGTTCGTTAATTTTTATGAAGGCCTTTGATGCAACGTAGTCGCCCCACATCATTCAGGACCCCTTGAGTGAGCTCTCTTCCATCCTGAGATTGCACGGCTGGGCGCCCGGATTCACAAACTCATCAAATTCAAAATTCACCCAGGATGAGCTGCAGGGATTCAACCAAATAAAAAAAAAACGAGATCCTCATCTATATCTCCGACCGGGGAAATGGGAACGCGAGAATTACGGGGTCCAGGGTGTCGTAGAAGACACTCTTCATCTCTTCGACCCACCACGTCGCCGACCCACGCAGATCCAGGATCTACGCGACAAGGAGTGGGATACGCACTGGGATGCGTCCGCAACTATCGTATCATGCCGTCTTCCCCCCTACCTTCGAATCTTCCAAAGCCTTCGAGGCCCACCATCGTACCATGCCACGCAGGTGCAGGCCCGCGCAGGTGCCGCCGGTAAGGATACCGCTGCACGGCACCTGCAGCACATCGTTGCTTGTCAGTGTCGAGCCACACGCCCGCTTACCCCTGAGCTAGAACGAGTCGCAGGCCCACTCATTCTCCTTGTCTTGACGCAGGCTCCACCCCGCTCCCCCAACTGGGTGCATCCCCCTCTCCCCTGGGCAGGGCGTTGTGCTAACCGCGCGGATGGCATCCCGTAACCATGGTTTTGAGCGCGCGGCACAGAGATTAGAAGGTTTGATAAACGGATGCACAGCGTGCGTGGACATGTGTGGCTAGGCTTCGTGGAGAGCGCGGCTCTCAAGTTGAAACGACCGGAGTGTGCCCCGGGGGGTGAGATTTGTTGAAGTGGCGAGTTGCGTGGCATGGACTGATGGATGGAAGGGAAAGTCACAAGCGGCGCGGATTGAGATTTTTTCCTAGATCCGTTGGGCGGGAGTCGGGCCGATGCTCACCGAAGTCACACTGGCCGAACCGAGCGGAATGTACAAGTCGTAGCAGTAGGCTGTTGAAGTGTAACTATGGGAGAGGGCTATGGGTAAGAAGAGAGCGGAGATAAATGTGGGGGGTGCCAGCTTCGGTGGGAATAATGACCTATGCTGAAGTGAACATGGACTTGAATGAATATACTAGTGGCTCGAGGATGGTAAATGCGTGACTTGGTATTGTTCAAACTCCCTTTTGAAAAATCATCAACCATACTTATAGGTACGTAGAGAACAAATTTTAACGAGATGATGTAGATTTATTGGTAGGTCTATGAGATAAATCGTCGTTGAAAATGCAGTTCTATGCTGCTTGGTATCATAAGGTTCTACGGCTCTTCTCTAAGGGAGCCTATGACTTAGGTAAAAGAAAAAAAGGCGCCATTTGCATATGGGCCAGAATAGTAGTAAAGAGAGTAACGCCGGTTGCTATGCCGTGAGGATCAATAAGGATCCAAACTCCAAAAGGAAATCAAAGTTGAAGGGAAACACGTTTACTCTTCGCTGATGACACCTGTCTGCATCATACTTGCGCGCAGAACCTTCTTGTACTCACGTTCCATGCCGTGCCGAACAGCGTCGAGAACCGTGTCGACTGTCGCCTTGGGTTGGAAACGCGGTTTGGTGCCTTCTTGGAAAACACCAGTGCGCACCAGAATGGAGTACCAGCTATTGTCAGCATGCTTATCGTACTCATTGGTGCCTCGGATATCGGACTCGGGAGTATCTCCAACAAAATAAACAGTGTCCGGAGGGGAGTCAATACTGTGGGTCTCTTTCCTCCATTGCTGGAGAAGACGTGTAGCGAACTCGAAGGTCCCAATCTGAGGTTTGCCAAATGCAGTAGTCTTAAGATCCTTGCCGGTTACAGCCTTGAACATAGCTTCGAGACTCACGCGGAGAGCACCCATACCAATGCGGGTTAGGTCGTGACTGGCAGACCAAACGACATCGTTGTGACTGAAGAAGACTGGTGGACCCTCGTCGTAGTTCTCGGACCTTGTTCCGAGGTAACCACCCTTGGACATGAGCAAGTCAAGAATGATCTGTTGGTCTGATGCCCAGTCGCGAGAGTCGGCGAAGACAAAGATAGCTTCAATCTTGACTTCGGCAAAGTTTCTTGCTCGAGAATTCTTGTATTCATCCACAGTCAATTTCCTGAAGGGGTGTGGTGTCTTGATTGTCCTTGATGATGTCACCGGGCGTGACGACATCTTTGAATCCGTAGCCTTCAGCAACATGGCGACACTTCTCGCCTTCGCCACCAACGACAAGGACGGTGCCGTAGCGTTCTGCCATCTCCCTCATAGGGGTGTGGCCGCAGATAAATTGACCGGGCGAAACTTCCAACTCAAGCTGCTGGCTCAGTTGTACGCAACGCTCAGCTTCGGTTTTGCCACCGCCATTGGTAACAAAAATGTAAGGCACCTTGATGCCGTATTCGTTTTGTCCGTTGAGCACTTTCATGGCTTCAATGGCTTCTGGGATGGGTCTTCCTCCTCGGATGAGAACACCATCAATGTCGAAGGCAAAGGCGTATTTGTCGGTGACTGTTGTTTCCGGGGGCGTTGGGGGTGTGCCAGGGGATACGGGTGCATCGACATGGTACCTAGCTGCTTCGAGCGCGGTCGCAACTTCGGAAGCATCGCTGGGGGCCATCAAATGTTTTGGGGGGACCACAACGGTTGGCCCCATATTGATGGCTTCCCGAGTGGCTTCGGTAGATGAGAGTCGGCGGGCATACCTGCTAGCGCCAGTAGGCACAGCAAGTTGAGTAGTCATGGTGTTCGGAACTTTGCGAGGGGCAGCTTAGAAAAAAGATGATTGATTGGTTGGTTGATGATAATTGGGATGCTGCGTGGGTTTGCTGTAGGTAGGTGGATGGCGGTTATATAGGTCGAACGCGTGGGGAGGTGGCAGGAGGTACTACTCCAGATATGCCTCAAAGAAGTGGGTGCTAGTTGTGGAGATGGATGTACTCGGGGACAAGGTGCGGAGATTTATACACTCAAGGCTCAGGCTCACCGACACACCTTCTGTACCGGACGAACGATGATAGGCGAGGGATGCGATGCCGCGGTCATCGCCATCGATTGTGGACCCTGAAACTTCCTTATCGACCGATTCTCATTCTGTGGAGCATCCTGCGTCATACTTCGCGGTAGCTGCGATAGAAGTTGAGCAGTTACTGACCGAATCGTTACCAGGCCCTGATGATCGAGCGCGGCACCTCGATCAATACGTCTCACTCAGGCATGTGCTGCGAGCCAGTGGGCGTTCTCGAGCCTCTGATTTGATGCGTGCTGCGATGGTGTTGCAATGGAAGTGGATACGAGCCCGGTGTTTTCACAAGCTAAAGGTGGCCGGATTGCAGGCAGGGCGTATGGGATTGGGGGCAGAGGCAACAGCGCACAGGCGACCCTTGCAATTCCATGTGGTTGACGGCCGCGCGTGGGAGTTTAGATGGGTCTCGAGTGAAAAGTCTGGCGTACGATGACGCCACTGGCCCAGCGTGCGCAGCTGTTATCGGCCGGCGCTTGCTTCCGACTGAACACGGTTAGGGACTCTTGCATCCGAAGAGGCGAAGCGCCATTTGTTGGTGGATCAACACGCTTCATTGCCTCTTTTATGACGAGTGCTCGAGAAAGACCCGGATGCAGCGCCCTCGCCAAGCTGCCGCGGCAGGCTTTTCCCCGACGCGCTCGATCAGCGAACATGTCGGAAGGAGGAGAGAGCCTCATGATCGCTTGACAGCCGCCGAGCCGCAAGAGCCGCAAAGGGTGCACGCCACTGCCGGACGCTGCAAACATCTACCATCGCGACACTCGTAGCACTCGAAGGCGACCGCATCACCGCGCGACCACGCCTGCCGACTGCTGTGGCATGTTCTGCAAGTGCAGGCGCTGCGCCATGGCTGCAGTCACTTCTACAAGAGATTGCGAAAGAGGGTCCGCATCCTGGGTGAAGGCCACCTCTTGCAGCCGCCCGCCCACCGTTGACATCATTGTACATGTTGGTACATTATCAAGCCCTC